CGCACACACACACACACACACAAAAAAAAAACACAAATTCGAATTACAAGCATACATAGATGAAATAACTCACACATGAACGATCCACTGTGAACCAATTTCCTTGCACTCCAACTTATAATAGTCACTTTGCATGCTAACATATCGTATTGCAGTCGCTGGAGAAGAAGCAGGTAAACATGGTTAATTATAATCATATTTAGTAACACTGCTTATCAAAAATGTTCAGGCAGCGTATGTATTTTCGAATGAGTGAGTGAATAAGTGAACGAGTGAGTGAGTGAGTGAGTGAGAAAGTTAATGCTTGAATGGATAGGAGAGTAAGTATGTGTGTATGTGTGTGAACAACGCCCATCTCTTCCCCGCCTCATTCCAGACGACAAAAAACGGGCGTGGGCGTCATGCTAGATTCCAAGTCGAGCGAGAACTCCAAGTGGGCGGGCTCCTTGCCGGTGATGGTGGGCGGGGAGCGAATTTTTGTGGTTGACGGTGGCTCCAAGAAGTTCTTTGTCGGTCTTAATTTTTAGTTTTTTTTTTTTTTTTTTCTCAAGGCGTTGGCTGGTATCAAGTTCTTTTTTAAATTAAAATCTTGGTTGGTATGACATTCTTCGTGTCTGATTCCTGGTTGATATCACACAGTTGATTGGTATGTGAACCTTTTGAGGTTTTTGATTCGTATGAAATTCTTGATTGGTATCAAACGCTGGTTGATATCAAATTCTTGGCTGGGCTGGTATCGGATTCTCCGTTGGTATAAAGTTGCTAGTTGCCATCAAGATGCTGGATGGTCTAAAATTCTTTAATGGTATTAGCTTCTCGGCAGGTATCAGATTCATGGCAGGTATCAGATTCATGGCAGGTATCAGATCCATGGTTGGTATCAGATGATCCACATGGAATCCAACCGGAATCAGAGAGAAAGGAAGCCCGGCAGACAAAGGGGGGGGGGGGGCGGAAGACACACAGCCAGCCCGCCCGCCCCGAGCGCGTGTGGGCGTGCATGCCGTAGGGGAACGCTGGGTCGATTTCGGGGAGAGTCGGTGGGCGGCATGAATGGGAGTGGGTGGCCCGGCGGCGGGAGCGGGCCAGTGCCTCTTTAAGCTTGGCACCCAGGCACGGGGCGCTGCCTTTGCCCCGCTTAACAAAGGCGTGTAAATAAGGTGTATGTCGGTGCATATGTACGCTGATGCGTGCTGAATATATATATATATATATTATATATATATATATATAATTATATATATATATATATATATATATATATATATATATATATATATATATATATTATATATATATATATATATATATATATATATATATATGTATATATATATATGTATATATATGTATATATATATATATATATATATATATATATATATATATATATATATATATATATATATATGTGTGTGTGTGTGTGTGTGTGTATGCATGTATGTATGTATGTATGTATGCATACATATATACATACATATACACACACACACACACACACACACACACACACACACACACACACACACACACACACACACACACACACACACACACACACACACACACACACACACACACACACACACACACACACACACACACACACACACACACACACACACACACACACACACACACACACACACATATATATATATATATATATATATATATATATATATATATATATATTATATATATATGTGTGTGTGTGTGTGTGTGTGTGTGTGTGTGTGTGTGTGTGTGTGTGTGTGTGTGTGTGTGTGTGTGTGTGTGTGTGTGCGTGTTGTGTGTGTGTATGTATGTATATGAGTATGTGTGTGTGTGTGTGCAACACACATTGTGTGTGTCGCGAATAGAATCATGCGTACATACAAAAGATATACATATACACATAAGCTTGGTATACAAGTCTCTCTAAAATTAGAAAAAAGAAAAAGAAAGAAAAAGAAAAGAAAAACACCTGCATAAGCACAGAAGGCTAAAAAACAGATGTCAGAATACCTCATAAAACTAACTACTTCCGATGCCCTTTCGGCGAATGCTTCTGGTCTGCTCGCCAATAAAGCTGTAATTAGCCAAATGGACACATTGTTCCACTCACACATTACGCTGGCCATTGATTCCAGGTCAGTGTCATCACTGGAATACTCATGTGCACCGTAAAGGTATGTCAGTAAGGTAGTGAAATGATTTTAATGATAAATAGTAAAATGATGATAGTAAATACTAATAAGATAATAGTAACTGGTATAAGGATAATGGTATACACTAAAATGATAATAGTAAATGTTTAAACGGTGGTAACTATTATTGTAATAATAGTAAATTGTAAAATGAAGGCAAGGACAATATATATAAAGAATAGTAAGCGAAAAATAATGATAGTAAATAGTAAGTAAAACCAGACACAAGGAATGATAACAAGAAATAGTAAAACGATTGCAATACAGTGCAACTTGGACAAAGGAAACCGACGGAGAAGGAGGAAGCATGCAGCCCGAGCTCTTAATAATTCAGTCGATATTTCACAATGAGCGATGGTTTATGCAACGCCTAATCCATATGTTTTTTTTTCGCAAATCATCCTATTTTTCTCGTTAAGTTGCGATGATGATTTTAGTTTTTTTTTTTTTTACGTCAGTTTTATTAATGGTTCATATGTGTTTCGTCTACGCTTTGCGGGTGAATTGTCTTTACTTGGAATCAATGCGTAGTCATTTAAGTATTGATGTGTAATAGATAGTAATTTTTATATTGATTTCTCTCCGTCTCTCTCAATCGCTCTCACTTTGTCTCTCTCTCTCGTTCCCACAGTCTCGCTCTCCATCGCAACTGGCTGGCTATCCCTCTCTTCCTCCCTCCCTCTCTCTCTCTCTCTCTCTCTTTCACTCCCTTTGCCCCCCCCCCTCTCTCTCCTCTCTTTCTCTCTCTCTCTCTCTCTCTCTCTCTCTCTCTCTCTCTCTCTCTCTCTCTCTCTCTCTCTCTCTCTCTCTCTCTCTCTCTCTCTCTCTCTCTCTCTCTCTCTCTCTCTCTCTCTCCTCTCCCTCCCTCCCTTTGCTTCATTCTTCCTCTCTCTTGCTTTCCTTTCTTTCTCTTTTCCTTTTTCTCAGGTGACGGATACCTTCCTTGTTGTAAGAGGGCTCGTTCACTAAAAAAAAAAAAAAAAAAAAAAAAAAATGCAAGCCAAAAGCAACATTCTCACGCCAAATACTATGGCCACTACAGTAAGGAGGTAATTATGGGTAACAGCGAAGGGGAGAAGGGAGAAGGAGATGGGGAAGAGGGAGTGGGAAGGGGAAGAGGGAGTGGGAAGAGGGGAAGAGGGAGAAGGAGAAGGGGAAGAGGGAGAAGGAGAAGGGGAAGAGGGAGTGGGAGAAGGGGAAGAGGGAAGGGGAGAAGGGGAAGAGGGAGTGGGAGAAGGGGAAGAGGGAGTGGGAGGAAGGGGAGAGGGAGTGGGAGAAGGGGAAGAGGGAGGGGGAGTAAGTTAAAAGCCTTGCATGTTCCGTGTTAACACCCTTCCCCCCCCCCTCTTCCTTGGCTTAAGTGGGGAGCGTCGGGGAGGGGGCAGGGAGAGGGGGGGGTGAGGGTGACACAAATGTGATTAAGAAGCAGACAGGCGAAAAGGATAAGGGAAGCAGTGGTAATTGCAACTAATGGTGTTAAGTTTTATGGCTATAGCATTAATGGGGGATGGAAATAATGGGTTTATAATGGTAATATTATGAGTAATAAAAGTCATATCAATTATAATCCCTTACTTGCTTATACATGACATACGATGAATATATACGTTAGTCAGATATATTATATATATATATATATATATATATATATATATATATATATATATATATATATATATATATATATATATATATATATATATATATATAGAGAGAGAGAGAGAGAGAGAGAGAGAGAGAGAGAGAAAGAGAGAGAGAGAGAGAGAGAGACATACATACAGACATAGACAGAAAGGAGAGGCAGACAGATAGATACAGACAGACACACAACTAGATAGACAGCTAAGCAAATAGAGAGATAGACATCGACAGAGAGACACATTGAAAGAGTCAGAAAGAATGAGAAAAGAGACAGAGAGCGACAAAAGATTAAGGATTTGGTGCATGATAATTTAACCCAAAGTATCAACGGCCAGCAACCAGACGTGCCCTTCTCTGAAGCGGAAACCAAGGCCAAATGTTGTCTAAACAAGGGCCTAACTTTTCAAGGCCCGAGGCTCCTTATAAGGGGCGGGGAAGGGCCTCTCTTGCTGTCTTGGATATTCTCTTTCCAATCGTAGGGTATTGTTTATTTATTTATTTATCTATTTTTTACATTCGTATTTTTCTTTTGTTTTGTGCATTTCGGGATGGTGATACATTATATAAGTTTGGGGATCTATTTTCTTATTCTAATCAACTTGGGTTTTATATTTTTTTATAATGAGGATGAATGATATATTTTTGTTATCTATTTTCTCATTTTCATCTACTTATGTTTCATTGAAGTCGGGATGAAGGTAAATCTATATAAGTTCTGGTTATCTGTTTTATCTTTCTTATATTTTATATGATTCAGAATGAAGATAAAGATGATAGGTTTGGTGTATTTTTCTCATATATATATATATATATATATATATATATATATATATATATATATATATATATTATATATATATATATATATATATATATATATATATATATATATATATATATATATATATATATATATATATATATATATATATATATATATATATATATATATATATATATATATATATATATATATATATATATATATATATATATATATATATATATATATATATATATATATATATATATATATATATATATATATATATATATATATATATATATATATATATATATATATATATATATATATACACACACCAATATATTTATATACTTGTAATAACCGCGAAAAAATCACAGAAACATGACCTCGATTTCAGTTACCTGACCACCTTAGCGCCGTTCCTGAAGACGACCATGGAGACGTTGACGCCTCCCTCAGAAGACGCCGTGACACTCAGCTCCCGGAACTCCGCTTGCTCCACGCGGATGTCCCAGTCCCCGTGGATGCGTTTTCCCCGGAAGTACTTCGACCTTGAGAAAGAAGGCGAAGAAAATTATCAAAGTTAGCGGAAAGACATAGCCTTGTATTCTCTTTCTTACATTATATATTCATGACGGAAAGTGAGAAGGTCAAGGTTGGAGTTGAGGCGAGTAAGTTAAACATGGCGTGTGTCGTCCGCAGACTTTTCCCGTAAAGTGCCATTGCAGAAATATTGTTAACAGAAATAAATAATAATAAATAAATAAATATATATATATATATATATATATATATATATATATATATATATATAAATATATATATATATATATATATAATATTTTTTTTAAAATTAATTTCCGTCATCTTGTGCCTACGTTTTGTTTTGTTTCATAATCGGCGGACACATTTTATGTGTACTTTCATTGGTCTATATCAAAGCAAATCAGCATTTACTCACCAATCTGTGTTCTGGTCGTCTATAACCAGGAGAGTGAAGCATCGGTCTTTGTTGTAGGCGGGCTTTGTCTGGCCAGTCACTTCGCCTCGCACCGCGCCAGTCAGGGAAGACACTCGCTGCGTATAGGAATGACTGTATTAACTCGCTGGCGGGTCGATTCATCGATACATATACTATATATCATAACTTTATAGGTTTTCCTTTCTGCTCTGCACTCAAAAGCGAAATCAATATCCTGCCCGCGTGAATTCTATTGGAGTTGGTAACCGAATTTGGTTAGCATAAGTTGAATAATGCAGTTCATAAATTAAAGGTTTGGGAAATACCACGTACTTCAATGATGCACTGTAAAAGATGCAGAGAAAATGAAAAAGAGAAAAAAAGAAAAAGGTACAAATTCAGTTCAGTAGTCAAAAGAACCTGTTTTTAACTTACTGAAATCACCCTGAGCCCGCACATTCATATAAACACATATTTACATACAAATCTACAAATACAAGTAAGCACGCACGCATGTACGTGAGAACAGTCAAAAATGTCCGGTTTCAAGTGAAACAAAACAGGTTCTTTTCATATGCTATTTATGCCTTCATATGCTCGTAAAAGTTTGCATTTCATCTCTGTTTAATTACCATTCTGGAGATGTGTTTGCTTAGTCTGAAAACTCATAGATATCTTTCGAGCGATATCGTATTTACTGCATTTAAAAACTGCATTCAGTAGGGAAATAAAAAGCCAACAATGTTTTCACACGACGCTTACGTAACGTAGACAACGAAAAAGCCAGTCGGCCATGAAACACGAACCCAGACGCCCTCGCCGCTGCCCGGGCGAAGGAAGGCCATCACGGAGGCAATTAATATCGACAAGGACTTTTGTAAGCTCGTAAGAATTGGCCATTAACATGAATATTTATGAGATGCAAACGAGGCGTATTAGGCCTTCCGCTGAGGCTTTTCACGAAAGTCACAAAGGGTAGATGAAGGCCGGACTTCTTCTTTCAGTGTTTTAATATTTCAGAACTTTTGATTCCTCCGTGTCCTGGGCTTTAAGCATTGGCAAATATATGTTTTTGAAATATGAACACAGTGAGTGGTTGTGAAGTCGAGTGAGAAATGTTAGAGCAATAAATGTTGCAATATAATCGAAAATACTTAAGAAAGAAATGAATGTTACTGAGATTGCGAAGGAAATAAAAGAACCTGAACACATCCTATTGAATATAAATTTCGATATTGAATTATGAATAGGACAACGCATCTATATTCTCTGAAAATAGTGAAACGCTGTTTGCTCTGACAGAATATATTTCGTGTTCCGGGCATATTGGAAGAACATTTCCTCCTCCCAGTCCTGTTTGACGTTGCAATATTTTGGCTAGAAGAAAAAAAGAAAAAAAAGAGAGAGAGAGTGAGAAAAAAGAAGAATATGATCCTTGCTTATTTCCATATTCAATCCAATAAAAAAAGAAGAGAAAATACAAAATCTCCTTTTTATCTAAATCTTAGCAAAAATAAAACAGATTTTTTCGTCTTCCTTTTTACTTTTTTTTTCATTTTTCATTTTATTCATGGATTTATATTAGAATGGTTCAACAGGCGTCGGAGGTCAGAATATTTTTCCTGCGTGTTTTCGACCTGGCCTTTCATAATCTCTCGGACAAAAGCTGGGAGGAAGAGAGACGAGAAAGCAGGAAATGGGAAAAGCGGATTAAGTAATCCGAATATAGGGAGGAAGGTGAAACGAATAGAATAGAAAGGAAGCAGGTAATGATAATAAATTGAGGACAAGAGGGCGAGTTAAAAGGGTTTTGATAATTATGCAACAAGAGAGTGAATGGTAGATAGGGAGATGGAAACAGAGAGAAAAATAAATAAAGATAGAGAAAGAGAAAGATAAATAGAGATAGAGAGAGATAAAGAAATGGAAAATAGATATCTAGATATCTAGATAGATGAGATAATGTAGACATATAGATAGATGAACTTGACATATAGATATGTAGATAGATTAACAGACAGATAGCTTGACAGACAAACAGACAGATAGGTAGATAGATATATACAAGGAGAGAATAGACAGGCAGAAAAATAGATAAGCAGATCAACAAAACAAATAGACAAATCAAAAGAAAGAAAAAAAAGAGAAAGAGCCTGATAACGAAGGTGAGAAGCACAATATAAACAGACGAAGTGAGAAGAGAGAGCCGGAGGAGGAGAAAGGCGAGGAGGAAACGTGCCATAGCATATTTTAGCGGACGGGAACTTATTGACCGGAAAGACCTTGAAATGGGTTAACCATATGTGTATTTTTTTTTTTTTTTTTTTTTTTTTTTTTTTTACTCGTAGTCTTACTAGGATATTGCATTTTCATTTTCGTTCCCTAAAATGTTTTTTGTGTGGCACTTTCTTGTTGTCATTATCAGTGTTGCGATTGTTGATACTGTTGGCATTGTTATCATCGTTGTTACTACTACTATTACTACTGTTACTGGTACTATTACTACTCTTAAAACCATTACTATTACTACTACTGCTATTACTATTATTAATACTACCACTGCTACTCTACTAATACTGCTTCTACTAATACCACCACCACTGCTGCTTCTATTACTTTACACGTACTACTACAACTGTTACCATTACTGCTACTACGTTTACTACTACTACTACGACTAGTATTACTACTGTTACTATAACTGCTTTGACTATT